CAAGAGGCTGCTGTGGTTTTGGGGCAGCATGTTTGGATTTGCCAAGAAGACGCCGAGCACGCGCAACCTGCGCGATGGTTCGCAGGGCGCTGGAGGGAATTTGGAGGCCGGGGCGCTGGCCTCATCCGCTTCGGGCACGCCAAGGGCCGGGGGCGGCGGCCGCTTTAACCCCTCTACGTTCGCGCTCCTATCCGCGGCCGAGCAGGGCCTGACCGCCGAGCTCACGCGGCTGCTGGCCATGCGCGCCGGCACGGGCGGCGTGCTCGTGGTGCAGGTGAACGACCGCGACGAGTTCGGCCGCACTGCCCTCCACGTCGCCGCCCGCCATGGGCACCTCGATGCCGTAAAGCTGCTGGCAGAAACCCACGGGGCCGACCTCAACGCTATCACGCTGCCTCACCCGGAAGGCCCACAGCAGCCGAGCGGGGCCGCGTCCAACGGCGGCGACGATGAAGGTTCACTCGGCCGGAAGAGCCCGCTCCACATGGCCCTCGAGGCCAAGCGATTCGAGGTGGCGCACTACCTGCTGGCGAAGGGCGCCACGGCCGGGCTGAGCACCTGCGGAGCCAGGGCACCGCCGGCGGCAGGCGAGCCGAGTGCCGCTATCGCACCGGTGGCAGCGCCTTCAACCACCGCCCTGCACCTGGCAGCAGCCAACTGCCCCACGGAGGGCGACGCCTCGACAATCAAAACGTTCACAGGTACGCCCGGTCGCCTAAAGAACGGCCCAACAAGGGGAGCGAAAGACGTCGCATTCTGTCGCTTTCGTTCTTTCTTCATTCTTTTGTAAGAAGAACGTGCTGACGCAGCGCGTGTTCGTGTCGCCATGGCCCAGATATGGTGGGCATGATATTGATGCTGCTTGGCGGTGCCAACCACCAGGACGCTTTGGGCAACACCGCACTCCACTACGCAGTGTACGCTTGACCCTTTTCCCCCTTGCCCACTCATCTCACCAGATCAGCTGAGCCGCTCACTTTTCTCTCGTACAGGACACGCCAGTGCCTGGCTCTGGTGAATCTCTTGATCAAGCACCACGCCGACCCAAACATCACAAACAAGTCCGCACGCCGCCCTTCAGCAGTTGCCCTACGAGCCACTGTCGTGTGCATGACTCACTGGTTGTGCGGTTTTTGTTTCAGCGATGGGGACAGCAGCCTGCTACTTGCAATCAATCAGGGCAAGAGGGAGATCAGCCTGGCTGTTCTCAACTCCTACGCCACGCAGACTACATCGGCCACACCGTCGGAGGCCTCACCCTCCACGCCGGTCAAAGCCACTCCGCCGGTCGCAAAGGTACCTTAGACAGGGAATCTCGCAAGTGCGTTGTGCGCAACTGACGTGTACGATTAGGAGCCGGAGCTCAACCTCCAAAAGGGCTGGCTGAAGAAGAAGATTCAGGCGTCGGACAGCAAGTTTCTCAAGAAGTGGCAGAGGCGTTTCGTGGAAGTCCGGCAGTCTTCGCTGGCCTACTACAAGAACCAGCAGCAGGTACGTACTCGCCGCACACCACACTCGCTCGCGGACCGTGCGACTGACCGCGTGCCCCCTCACAGTCGGTTCCGAGCTTTGAGATTGACCTGAAGCGGGCGACCATCTTGGTGTCTTCCCCCTATCACAAGGCCTTTGCCGGAGTACCTGCGACCCCTCCCGCCCAATGCGCGACAGTGCGCGTGCGTGCACCAAACTGATCAGCGCATTGGTGGTCGGTCTGTCCGAACAGCTCTCGGAAACAGCCCCGGACCCCAGCCACCCGTTCGTCTTCGCGGTGAGAGCGGACACCAGGGACTCGAAGAGCCATTCTGGTGATGACTCGTATGCCCCCCTCTCTCGCCCACAATGTTGACAGCTGCTTGCGCTGATGCTGCCTCGTCACCTCTCCGCAGGGACGCCAGCGCCAAAACGGGCAAGACCCTGTTCTTCTCCACGACGTCTGAGGGTACCACCAGCCCCGGCCCACACCAGCGCTCGTCGCTACCGAAACGTTCGTTCCAACTTCTGACCATTCTCCCTTATTTGTGGAATGCAGAGGAATTGTTGCAATGGGTGCAGTCCATTATGAGCATCAAGAAGCAGGGTACGTACGCAGTTTCTCAATTCCACCTACAATGCAAGACCAACGCAATCGAGCTGACGGCTGCTGGACCAACAGTGCAAGTGCAAGAGAGGAACTCGACCGACCCTCGGTACCCGGCGAAGGTGACAGCCGTGGTGAAGCGCGTGGCCAGGTATTTCGAGGATCACATCGAGCAGCCGCGAGAGCAGCAACAACAGCCAGAGGCGACAGGCGACAAGGACGCTCTGGATGACTCGCTCAGCGAACTCCAAGCGTACAACCCCAGCACCAGCGCTAGCGAGAGGGAAGAAGAGGCAGTGGAAGATGGGGGCAATACGGACGACCCCCAGGAGGGCGAGCGAAGGAGCAGTCTCGTGCCGCTGCACGTCCCCGACTTATGGAACGCCACCAAGGCCGTCGACAGCGAGATTGACGCCCTCGAGCTGGCGCTCCGCAAGATGCTCGACACGAAGGACTCCTCGTTCGATTTCGGGGCCATCACGAATCCCTACTCCATCTTCCAGGTGCGCCACACCACACCGTTCGCCCGCCTTGCGCATAGGAACCACCACTTCACGGCCACTTCAACTCACCCTGGCCGTAATTCCTTCTTTTTCTCCTTCCCAGTTCATGTTGGCGAAGCTCGAGCAGCTCCACATGCCCCTCCTAACCTTCAAGCTGGAGTCATCTTTTCTGACGATTGCAGCTCTGGTCGATCCGTCTGAGCGACTGGAGCAGTACCGGACTCTGCTGAGGACCAGCGTACCGTCGGACTGCTTCCAGAAGATCCGCGCTCTGCTGCCGCTGATGCGTCGGCTGGAGGCCCACCACGAGCGCAACGGCATGACCTACGCCCGACTGGGCGACGTCTTCATGTCAGTCTTCATTCGCAGCCGAATGGAGAAGTCGGCCGGTGAGACCACCAGGGAGAAGTACCTCGCCCGAACGCTGGTCCGTACCCCCCTCCCCTTTAAACCTGTCTTCGCTCTTTCTTCGTTTTCGTTCTTTTGCTGACGTCAGCACCGACTCTCGAGCCAGTTGGAAGACTTTGTGCGACACCAGGAGCGGCTGTTTGCCGAGAAGCCCGAGGAGGGCAAGGACTCGGTCACGGAGCAGCTCGAGGGCGAGTACGCCCACTTCCGTCGCCGCGTGGGAGCGCAGGGGCTGCTCTACCTGCTCGACCAGGAGGTCGAAGCGATCCGGCTCAAGTGGGAGGAGGTGAAGGAGATCGGCAAGGGCGAGAGCGGCAACCGTGCGCGCGAGTGGGAGAGGACCGTGCAGCTTGCGAGCGCCCTGGGCGAGGGCATCCAGGCCGAAATGGAGACCAACACCGAGATGGTCGCTCGGATGCACGTCGCCCTCAGCGAGTCCCAGCAGGCCATCGAAGCCGTGCAGCCACACTGGGACACCAAGGCCTCAACCTCTCCTTGATTACCCCTCATCAGGTTGTGGCTTCTAACATGATTTTTTAAAACATTTTTCTTCTTGGAAAAGCGAAAACAAAAGACGCAGCCAAAAATTGCCAAAAACAAATCAGTGGAGGTTGATTGGAGGATGATCAAGGACGAAGCCGAAGGTACTCTCGATGTGAACTTGATTGTTTTTGGCGATGGAGATGGATGGAGATGCCATGCAACTCTACGAGTGTTTTAATTATGTTTGGATTTCATCTTTATTAAAACTTGCTGCAGAGGGAAGGGCAGCAGAGAACGACGACGACGTACTCCGACCGGTATGCGGCACCGCAACGGGCTCGCAGGCAGCCCTGGGTGCGGAGTGGGCACTGAGCGAGGGACCCGACGGCAGCCGCGCCCACCTCCGCCACGTCGACTTCCCAACGCCGTTCACGACCCAACCCCAGGTACCCACATGACCCCCATCGTGTTCACTCAATCTTTCGACACATGCCGGTGGTCACCTTCATCGCCATTCTCACCTTCGTCGCCGTCAGGTGGCCGTGTTCCTCTCGGCCGTGAACATCCAGGACAAGACCGACCGCCGCGTGTGCGTCTCGGTCGAGAGCCAGAACAAGCGCGGGTTCGACCTGAGCTTTGCCACGTGGAGCGACACCCGGGTGCTGGCGGCCTCCGCGACCTGGGTGGCCTTCGACAAGCGCTACCTCTCCACGCCCGGTACGTGCGCACCGGGTGGCCACCGGCGCATCCCTTCATTCCATCGTGACTGACTTCTGCGCTGCGCACAGGGAGCACGATCGAGGTCGGCCGCTTGCTCATCTCACAGAAGGCGTTCGGTGCGGCGTACAAGGTACGGTCATCGGTCCTTCCATCCTCGGCTCCGCGGTGGTCTGTGCGGCCTGACGCGCCATTCACGGCTGTGGCGTTGGCGGCGACGGTGGTGGTGATGGTGGTTGCGTGGTGGGTGCATAGCTGCACAAGGGCAAGGGCGACCGCACGTTCACGACCAGAGTCAACTTCACCAGCACGGGCTTCGCCACGCCGCCCACTGTCACCCTGGGCCTGTCGGCGTTCGATATTCTCGTATACATTCCTTCCCCTTTTGCACCACACACGACACACAACACACACTTAAGGTGGCGGCAACGCACGCGCTCTCCTTTGCTGACGTGGACACGCACGCCGGCCCGCCGAACACAGGACGACTCGGACCACCGGCTGGCTCTGTCGCTGGAGAATGTCGATAAGAAGGGCTTCACCTTGAACGTGGGCACGTGGCTCGAGACCAAGGTGTGGTCGCTCGAAGTGACCTGGATCGCGTTCGACAACTCCTTCCTCTCCGGCACCAAGGGTACCCGGGCTCGTCCTGCTCTGCGTGCGCCCACGCCCGACATGGCCTCAAAAACTCGAAACTTCGCCCACACACACACACACACAGGTCTGCAGATCGCGAGTGGCCGCTGGCCGTTCAAGCGAACCACGCCGGGCTATGTCCTCCACGAGGGCACCGGGAACCGCTCAGTCAAGCAGCACATCACCTACCCCCGCAAGTTCGCTGGTTCGGCCTACTTCTCCCCCTCTTGTGTGTGTTGTGTGTTGTGTGTTGTGTGTTGTGGTGTGTTGTGTGTTGTGTGTTGTGTGTTGTGTGTTGTGTGCACAATTTTTCGCGAGTTTATACTTACATTCCTGCCCTCACACTACAGCCATGCCGGACGTGATTCCTTTCTTCTCTCTCATCGACGTACTGCACAAGGCCGACCACTGGTATCGTCCGCCGCTTTAGCTGCAGGTTTGCGCTCAAACGAGTTTAGAGAGAAGTCCTCACCCACGTCGTGCGCCACGACAGCGTGAGGACGGTGGTGCAAAACTGGAACGAGTCGGGATTCGATCTTGTGTTGGGCGCCTGGGCCAACAGCCATGTGTGGTCGGCCTCCTGCTCGTATCTCGCCTTCGGCACTCCTGGTTCGTGTTCCCCAATCTGCGTGTGCGGTGGAGCGTGTGCGTGTGCGTGGAGCGTGTGCGGTGGAGCGTGTCATACTTCTTTAATTTATTTACCTACTTTACAAACGTTGGAGCAGTCGGTTATGCGGGAGGTAAGAAGCCGGCCCCTGCGGCCTCGGGCGGCACGGCGAAGCAGAAGTCCGACGAGCCTGTGCCATCGACTTCGACTTCGCCCTCCACCACCTCGACGTCGTCTTCCTCTACGAGTGCGGCCACAAGCGAGAAAGGAGCCGACGACGAAGCTGAGGAGGACGAGAAGACGTGCAAGGTCTGCATGGACGCCGAGATCAACATCTGCTTCGTGCCCTGCGGTACGTTCGCCTCGATTCCTTCAACGACACGTGTCATGGACCAGTGAGGGCACGCCCACCTTGCTTGCTTGCTGCCAACACGCACAACGACACGCACGACACGCAGGGCATCTGGCGGTGTGCCAGGACTGTGCCAACCTGCTGACGGGCAAGGGCAACAAGCGAGAGTGCCCGATCTGCAAGACCAAGATCACCAAGGCCGTCCGCATCTTCAAGACCTGACCGTTGCGTCCTCTGTACAGAATTGAAGAGACCCTTTGGGCCTCGCCCAATTACACCCCCGGGGGTTTGGCGTACTGCTTCTCTGTCGCCGGAGCTCGCGCGTGACCAAGCACAGAGCAACAGTTGGCGGTCCCTGGATAAAAATTGTAAACGCCCGACGAGTGCTGGAGATTTGACACGCTAGTTCCGGCCGCCCCCTGTTGGCGGGCTGCTAGATCATGTGTTCCGGGACCGCGTTAAGGCCCGACTCGTGCCCATACGCCGCCTCTTTGCTAGGCCCAGGACATTCTCACGATCTACCCTCCACAGCTCACAATCGCCACCAGCATGCGCCTCCCTCGCCTCCGCCGGAGCAAGGAAGACACTCTTGCGCCCGCCACCCCGGTCTCGGCACAGCCCGCCCCCAGCGAGAGCCCGCGAGGGCTGGCCAAGTGGCAGGCCATACTGGAGGAGCAGGCGCCAACGCCAGCGGCCGCCTCCATGGCGATCGCTACGGTCAGCCCCGACGTCATCGTCCGGAGCCCGGTAGCTTTCCTCTCCACCGCCGCCGACGACGAGAGCTACGAAGTGGCCGGAGGAGTGGTGGCTGCGGTGGTCGGCGGCAGCGGCGGGCTGGGCAGCTCCCGGAGTCGTACCAACACCGCCGCACCGCCGCGGTGGCTCGCCGACCACGCCGACGCCAACGTCCAGCAGTACCGCGCCAACGCCCAGCTGGGCGCACTCTCCGCCCTGTGCCCCGTCCACCCCCTCCTTTGCGACTGAGCTCCGCCGCTTTGCTACTTCCGGAGCGCCAAGAGAAGAACCCGAAAGACCATCGGCGAGCTGGTCAAAGAGGCCAAAGTGTGCTCGCGAGGCGTTAACACTTTGCCCCCCCCAACCACGTGCTGTGGTGTGTTCATAAAGACAATTTTGACAAGCACAGATGTGAAAGCCAACTTTTAGGGTAACTAACTTTGGCAACCACCCGGATACGGGCCTTTTTGTTTGGTCTTCGGCGGTTCAGCGCCCAAGAGGAGTCGGCCTTTTCACTTCTTCCTTCCCTACTGGTGTACGCGGCTCGTGGTAGCCAGACACCCACCAGGTGGGGAGGCCGATGAAGGCGATATTTATGCAAGCCCCCGAAGAACATCATACACTCCCTCCTTTCCTTCCTTCTCCTCAGGCGGACAACACAAGCACAGCCACGATGAAGATACCTCTGCCCTGGCGTCGAAAGAGCAACCCCGCCGTTCACCAACTCTCTTCCTCTCCACCCAACCTCTCCCTCATCTCGCTGCCCACCACCACAACTCCTTCATCCTCTTCCTCATCATCATCTTCTGCATCTCAACCAACTTCTCCGCGCTCCCCAACCTCCCCGCGCTCTCCGGCTTTCCTCACCACGCCCACCATACTACACACCCGGCAGCACACCCCCCTCGCCCGGTCGCCCCACCACCACCACCCGCCGCCCCAGCTCTACAGGTCGAACGAAGACACCGACTCGCGCAGCGCCAGCCTCCATCTGAGCGCGACCACGGACACGACCGAGTGCACGACCACCTACACCGATCTCTACGCCTCGACGGCCACCTACACCGTGGTCGGGGAGGAAGAGGAGCTCGACGATGACTTCATCGCCAACGGCTTGCTGCCGTGTTCGCCACGGTGGCTGGCCGACCACGCGGACGACAGCGTGCGGCAGCACCGCGCCAATGCCCAGATGGGCGCCCTGGCCGCGCTCCGTGCTGGCCGGTTTCTTACGGCGGTGGACAGTTGAGGCACCCCTTTCACGTTTGTCCTCAGAACTGTATTAAAACATTTTGTGTCGACATACATTAGTCGCTAGGGAAACTTATGTGGCCAATTGGCGCCAACCGTCAGCCATAGCAACATAGAGCGATTCGCAGCTACAGGCCGACCACTCATCGTGCTGTCGGTGGCTTGTCCTTCTTGCTTTCTTACACACCCTACAACCACTACTACTACCTCACCAGCATGAAGCTGCCGCTGCTGCCGCGGTGGAAGAAACACAAGCCCACCGTGCCCACCCACACCTCGGTCAAGAAGACCACGCAGGCCAAGAAGAAAGCTGCGATCCCGGTTCACCTCGGCGCACACACCACCGCCGCCAGCTCGGCGCCACCGGCTGCGGCCCGCGCGGCAGCCCAACTCGCCCGCGAGAAGGAGGCGGTCGAGCGCAAGCGACGCGCGACGGAGGCGGATGTCGACCTGAGCGCGGTGCTTCCCGTACCCGACACGGCCCGGGCGGCCCACCACCACGACTGCAACGACCGCGACGCCTGGCTGGCCGAGCACGCCTACCTGGTGCGCCTGCGCGCCGCAGCAACCGCCGCTGTCGCCAGTCCGATGCATGATGGCTCCGACGCTTGTACCGCCACTACTACCATGGCGATGTCGCGCTCGTCGCCTCGCAGGCTCATAGATGATGCGCCTCCCTATTGAAGATGTATGGCATCGTGTGCACACCATATATGTAAGAGTATTAAGAGTTTAGTCGACCAACTGCTTGATTTCGTCGATAGAGATGACGAGCACGCTGATGACGCCGAACACGAGCCCGACGGCGGCCAAGATGGCCGCGCCGATCTTCCGGGGCGAGGTGTAGCGGCCGGGCGCGAGCTTCATGTAAAAGACGCCAGGACCCGTGTACACGATCAAGTTGCCTGCACGCGATCCACCACCGCCGCCGTGAGTCGTCACGGGATCAAATCTTGCACACAACTGCAACAAGAGCTGGAGGAAGTAGTGGGTACCGGCAGTGGCGCCGATGATGCCGAATACGAAGGAGATGTCGGGGATGACGATGCTGAGCAAATAGGACAGGGCCACTATGCAGGCGGTGATGACAATGTACCGGATCGAGATGTCCGGCACCCTGCCCAGTCGGACATGGGGGAGTAGGTACCGTAAGTACACGACAGCGGCGCAAGTGAGCGGGGGGGGGGAAGTTGGGAGCGCACTTGTTGGGCGAGACCTCCAGGACGATGCTGTCCACCGCGATACGCGCTGGGTAGTGAATGATGGGGTACGAGAATCTAGATTCAATTTTCGAGTGATTGCAAAACGATGTACGTTAGTTGTCGTGTCTAGTCTCGTCGAGCTGCTAATAGTGATTGACTACGTACACGATGACCACGGCCAAGAGGATCTTGCCAATTTCTGCGGTGCAAAGGCGACGTCAGCCGCTACGGTTGTCATGAGGAGGATATGGTGCACAGAACAGCACAGCGTACCGACAAGGATGTCGTCGTCGTAGTTGTTGAATATGTTGCCCTCGGTCTCCTCCAAGAAGGTCAGGTAGCCAAACACGCCCACGATGAGATAGGCCAGGCCGCTCACCAGCACCGCCGCGTGGACCACAGCACGCATCCGGGACATCGTGGGGTTCCTGCGACGGACCATCACCACCGCGAGGTTAGGGCCAGAGCCGACAAGAAGGGAAGGAGCGAAAGAAGACAGAAAGAGTGTGCGCACCTCATCTCAGAAAATATGGGGAAGATGTTGGGGTGGAAGGTGAAGGCGAAACTCATGATGGGCAGCGATCGGAAGATGTCCGGCGCGAAGTTGGCCAACGAGAGCTCGTCCTCCGATTTCTCCAGGCCCTCTTCCGCGATGTTTTGGATGGAACGAAACGCAACCAGGAACACTGTGTCGTCCACACACACACACACACAGCGGTGAGCAGTTGACATCGACATCGAGGATGACGGAGAAACGCGAAGCTGTGTGTGTTGTGTGTGGAGGAGTGTACCGAGATAGACGATGCAGGCCAGGGCAGCCAGCGATGTGTAGGCCAGGGCACCGATCTTTCGCAGCAAGCAAAGAGGGAGCACGATGACGGTGGCGATGATGCCTGTAACGCACAGTGACAGTGTTGAGCTACACGACCGTCCAAAAAGCGGGGGGGGGAGACGACGAAGCAGAGAGCAGGTTTTTCGTACCCACAACGAACCACCGGTGATGCAGCGGCCCGAGCCACTCTGTGAAGGGAAGCAGCACGTCTCCGATGACAATCATGTAGCCTGTCAAGGCTCCAAAGAGGAACATGAAATTACACAGATCGGCAAAGATGGCTCCTGTCGGTACGAGAGAGAGAGAGAGAGGAGGATCAGCGAACGAAGCACCAGCCAAACCCATGAACACATTGGATGAAGCAGCAGCTGCAGGTCGTACCGCCCTTGCCTCCGACCGCTCGGGCAAGGCCTGTGTAAGACTTCTCCTCCACGTACTTGCTGGCTTCGAGCAACAGGTAGCAACTGGGACGACACACACACACACATGCACCAACATCGCTCCTCATTAGCATAACGCTTCGAATAGGACGCGACGACGGCCTTGCATCGTGTAGTAGTACCTATAAACACATAAGAGACCGACCGTGGTGAGCAACACGCTGCCCACGATCATGCCCGACGATCGCAGTGCGAACGGCAGGGCCTGGCGCCGCCAACAGAGCCAGCAGAGGGGAATTGTAAGAACGAAGGTGGTGGGAGAAGAGAACAAGCAGCGTTTGGAAGGAGAGGGTTTTGGGGGGGGGGGTACCAGCACACCGCCGCCAATAATGTTGTTGACAAGGTTGAAGGTGGCGCTCTTGGCGGACGACACATGCCGCTTGTCGTGGTGCACCTCGAGCACGTACTCGCCGTCATCGTCGTTCAGGCCAATACGCTGTTCTTCCTCTTCGTGCACGTACACATCGTGCTCGGCCTCTTCATCAGTCGCTGCTGGATGTGTGTACAAGTGAGCCTTGCCCCCGATTCCGGCGATCTTTTCCATTGCCGGCAACTGCTGTGTAGACGAGGAATGTGAAGTCCCCAATGCTCGCCGCAGAATTGACGAAGATCGATTTCTTTCTCTAATCGCTAAGCCCGCGTGCCGCTCCAAAATGTCCACAGATTATCTTTCCACGTTGTGATAGCTTAGTGTACCGCTCCCCGCTCTACTCCACTTCTTGCACTCGAACTGGTCCTTCCTCTCGCTCTACTCTATCTGTGTGCCTGAACTGATCTCCGCCAAAGAAGGTGAAACTCACAACGAGAAACAGAGCCCTCGAACGGCGAGTGGCGTAGGGCCAAGATAGTGGCGAGGAGCACGCCATAGCTCCACCACGCGGCGTAAGTTCGGCCGGCTCGACCTCTTCTGTCAGCCGTCTCTGTCGTAAATTTCCCTCGCCAAGCACATCTGGGCGAAATTTCGCACTCAAATTATTGGCGCGAAATGCGTACCGATTTTCGGTTATATTTGCATTCCTGAAATTAAAAATACGTAATTCATGAATTTAAAGCTCTTGCCGCAAATTCATAAATTGGCTTCAAAGATGAGTCGCGATGGGCCGGCTGCTGCGCAGATGGTGAAGATGGAGAAGAACAGCCGCATTGAGCTGTCGGCTGACGGCCTCACTGTGCGCCCACCCCAATCTTGCGCTTCGATTTAATTAAATGGAATACAAGTAATTGTAACAATTATTAATCACCGAATAGGCCAAGAATGCGGGCACCAACTTCGAGTCGGTGCGGTGCAACGTAAAGGTGAAGAGTGGCAAGTGGTATTACGAGATCAAGCTCATCACCAACGGCCTCTTTCAAATTGGCTGGTGCACGACCGCCTTCACCCCGGACGCCGCGGTGCGTTCCTGTCCTTGTCACCACAGAGGCGCTGGTTGTGCTGATAACAAGTTTTGGGCACACGCAAGGCTGGCAACGGCGTGGGCGATGACTCCAACTCCTGGGCCTACGACGGCAGCCGTCAGCGTAATGGCATGCTGGCTCGGCCTACTACGGCCAGTACTGGTACGCTGGTGCGTTCTTCTTGCTTCACTCTCCCTTTTGTTTTGCGCCTTCATTCTTGTGCCCAGCGGGAACTGAACTGAACATGTCTGCACGTCCACATGTCCTAACACTCTCGCGATGATTGTCATGCTTGACCTGCAGGTGACTACATTGGCGTTGCCATCGACTTGGATGCGAAGAAGATGGACTTCTACCGCAATGGCCACAACATGGGCACCGCGTACGACAACTTCTCTGTCGGCGATGGGCTCTACCCTGCCGTGACACTCTCTGGAGGTAACCCTGAGCAATCCTTAGCAAACTGGCACGTCGTGGGGATTCCTTACGCTCTCAAGGAACGCTATCACAGGCCAGCAGTGCTCTTTCAACTTTGGAAAGACGCCCTTTGCGTATCCGCACCCGAGCAGTGACTACAAGGTCCTCCACTGCTTCCTCAGCGAGGCGGAGGTGGAGAAGCTGAACCAGCTCTTCAACAAATACAAGGGTAGGGTCACCACTACCACACACGCACACGCACACACACACGGTCTGATGCTTGAACTAACACCGAGAGTTGGATCTGTCTCTCATCAGCGATGGGCGTCCAGCTGAGCGAGTCTGGCGAGACGGGCGACATCATCAAGGGCGCCGGCTTTCTGCAATACGGCCAGGTATGCTTGGCCTGAAGCCCCTTGTTGTGTGTAAGGAGGATGTACCACTCATTTCTATTAACACACTTTATTCCAGGACTTGGGCGTTGTTGAAGACACCGACCCTGGCCTGATGCTTCTGGCCTTCAAGTTGGGAGCCGAGGCCCAGTGGGAGTTCTCTCGAGAAGAGTTCATCAACGGCTGGACTGCATTTGGGTGCGTCCTTCTTCTCTGAGGCGATGTGTTGCCAGTCGGGTGCTCGTACTCTCGCTGACTAGTTGTATTAATATCTAAGGTGCTCCACCATGGAGGGCATGAAGGCGAAGCTCGCCGAGTGGCGGCGGAGATCAAGAACGACGACAGCTTCCGTGCGTTCTATTACTTTGTGTTTGACTACCTCCGGGAGGCGAACAAGGTCATCCTGCGTACGTCCTCCTCTGTTCTTTCTTCTTTTGCGCTTCGCCTGGCCATCTCACTCGCTCACTCTCCTTTTTGTCGCTTGAAGTGATGGAAGAGGCGCTCACCGTATGGGAGATGCTGGGTTTCCCCAACAAGTGGCAGTACTGGGGCAAGTGGACGGACTTCCTGAAGGTGCGCCCTTTACACTTTACTTTATCACGACGTACTGCGAGGCCCTTCTGACCGCCACCACCTTCCAGAACCACACGTCGGCAAGGTCGGTCTCTAAAGACACGTGGCGCCAGTTCTTCGACTTCTACCGTGCCCACCCGACGGGCTTCGACGCTTATGACGAGGACAGTACGTTGGCTTCCCAGTTTGCTGTTTGCTGGCTCGAGAACTCCTCCATGCAACCTCTTGAGCAGATAGTTAACGGTACTCACCCCTGCGCTGTGCCCTTGTGTCACGACAACAGGCTCGTGGCCCATCCTGTTCGACGAGTTCGTGGAGTGGATGAACGCCAACAAGGACTGAAGTGCCGGTGTTTGTCTTCTCGTTCGAATTCTTTCCTTGAAACATTTGAAACGCGCCAACAAAAAAACCCAAAAATAAAATACGCACATGTGACCATCTCAATCCTTCGAAAATTGAAGATGGACAGAAGCGGCCGAAGTACGAACGGCCCACCACCTCGGCCACACGCCTCACTCACCGACCTAACCCGTAATCTGCCGGTTGGGCACGGTTTGCAGGCTAATGCCAAGGAGGTGAGTAAATTCGCAACACTTCACTCCCCACGTACGAGATCGCTCAACTTCTCTGTTCAGGGGCACGAAAGGGTAGGATCTCGTGCAAGCGTCGTGCTATCGCAGCAGCAGCCACGCCAATCTCAAGGTACGCGAGGGGAGTGGGCCGCAATCGCTCGTACGATGCTGAGTCCGCAATCCCGTTTTTGTCAGGTGGGCAAGAGGGAGGGCTACAGAAAAGGTGGGCACCCGTGCCAAGGCCACCACCTCAAGCCGCAGGACCCGCCTTCAAGGGCGGCACGACACAACACACATCTACGTGCACCGTACCGACTATACCCTCAGTGCCGGCGCGAGGCGAAAGGAGGACGCGCCTCTCGCAGGAGGCCAGGCGGAAGGAGGCCGCTGCAGCAGGAGGTCAGACAGCAGGCGGCACTGCAGGACCTACGGAGGGCAAGGGCAAGGAGACGGACTCATCGGGCGAGGGAGAGGACGAAGACGAAGACGAGGACTATGACGAAGAGTTCGAAGAGTACGCGTCGCCGCCCTCGCCGCGAACGGCCTTGCGCGGGCGGCTCAAGGACATGCGAGGCCGAGAGTCCAACCTGTCGCTCTTCGGCGTGGAGGACCCCTACAACTGGACCGACGGCGGCGAACGCGACGTCGTGTGGAGGAATACCAATGAACACTTCCTTCTCGGTGCCGATGACGTCGGCACGATAGGAGGCACGCCAGCAAGCACGCAGCGGAGTCTGACGAGAGCCAACTCGACGACGACGAGCGCCGTAAAGCGAACTACCAACCACGCCACCTCGCTCGCCTCCGAGGCCTTCTACTCATCATCGAAGTTTGTAGAGAACGAGAGGAAGGAGAGCGGGGCTTCTTCGAAGAGCTCCTCCTCGAACTCGGTCGCCTCGGGGTCGGCCACCAAGCACCATCACCTCACCCCCGCTTCATCGACGGCCCTCCTCTCCCACTCGCTCAACATGCAGCCAGGGCGTCTGACCGTTCTCCGACGGCTCATGGGACCCCAGCCCGAAAAGGCCAGCCTCTCGCGAATCAAGAGCTCCCTCCTCGACCGGCTGAGCAACAGCGGCCAGGCGCAGGCCGCCGAAGACGAGCGGAAGGCCCAGCAGCAGCTGCTGCTCGCGCTGGAGAAGGCCGAAAAGGTGGTCGACGAGCAGAACTCGACCAAGGGCGGCGGCACCCTGATTACGCAGCCGGAGGGGGTCAGCGCTGCCGGCCGCAGGGGCAAGGACATGTCGTGCGAAGCGGCGGTGGCGAGGGGCGAGTTGGCGCTCGAGCGGCAGAACGACGACTCGCGGCTGCTCGGCGGAATGGAGGACATCTTGGAGATGCTGAACGACGACGAGTTCAAGACGCTCATGCAGCAGGCCGAGGAGATGTGTGCGTCGACGCGATCGAGCGGCGACACCTCGTTCTCGTCGATATCCACGGCCTCGCCCTCCTGCACGGAGGCGCCGCGCTTCTCGCCATCGCTACCGTCCTCCCTCGCCTTCTCCGCCATCCCGACGGCGTCTCTAGTGCCGTCGCTCGACACGAGTCTCTCGCGGGAGCCGCCGCGGGACAAGCCCGCGAACGAATCAGCGCCAGGGCTCCTCCTCCCTAATGTGGTAGACGCGCCCGCACCGGACAGCGAAACGAAAGAGCGCCCGCGAGAGGTGGAACGAGAGGAAGTGAAGGAAACGAAGAAAGAAAAAGAAAAGAAAAAGATGGATGAGGAGGAGGAACGATGCATCGCGGCCGAAGAGGAACAACACCGGGCCGTCGACGACGCAGGCGTGCACGGCACGCAACAGAAGCCGATCCTGATCGACGAAGATGAGGAGAAGGAGGATGCCAGGAGGAGCAAGTGGAAGGGCAGGAATAGGGATCGCGAGGTGGCGGAGACCTACTCGCAGGTCGCCCGCAACAGCATGTCTTTGGACCGATTCGCCAGCAGCCAGCCGGGTCGGCTGTCGCTGCGGAAGCGCGGGTCCGGCGGCAGCAGGGAGAACCTCCTACAGACGACTCTTTGCCTCGAGAGAAAGAAGGAAGCAAGAGGAGGAGAGGGAGAAGAGGAGGAGCGGAAAGAAGCGAACGAGAGCCGAGAATCGCTGAGGAGGAAAAATAGAAAGAGCGGCGAGGAGCCACAGAGGCGCCAGGTCGTCGACGAGATGGAAGTTGAGGCGCGGGCCGAGGCATGCGGAGAGAAGCAGGCGCCGGTGGAGGAAGAGGTAAAAGCGATCAAGGTGGAGACGCTCACGAAGATCACGCTAATGGAGGACATCCAAATCGTGGAGCAGAGCAAGAAGATCATCATGGAGGGGCTGCGCGAACTGGAGAAGGAGGCCTTTCTGGACGACATGGACCGGAACTGGTGGCCATCACAGGAACAGCCCACGATGGCGACGCAGCCCTACGAACGAAGAAGCGAAGCCAAAGGGAAAGAGAAGGACGTCGAAGAGAAAGAACAAGAATGCGAGGAGGAGAGCGAGATGGACATTGTGCTCGACGATTGCCTGCCTCCCGGGTTTGAGGTACAAAAGCACATGGCAGCACCTATCCGCTCCATACAGATCTGTATGTTAAGTTCTCACAATTGGTTCTGTTGGTTCGCTACAGGATGCCCGCAACGCTGAAGCGCTCGCGCTCGAATCGGAATTTACGGCAGAGATGTTTGATCTGGCCATGCTGCAGGTGCCAGAGCCGCCACCGGTAGATCTCTCTCCAATCCGGGCGCCTCACCTCTTCCCCTAACAGTTAACACCACCACACGACGACCCACGCAGGCCGACAACGCGCCTACAATGACGACGAGGAAGAAGCGAAAGCTGTACGAGCGATTCTTGGTCCTTGAGGTCTCGGTCGTCGAATACGAGACGCCAGGAGAGTACTGCGTCATCATCGGCAACGAAAAGGTGTGTGGGCGGCCTTTCTTGCGCACTATTCTCTGTGCCAAAGGCCCTTTGTGGCTGGCTTTCCTTAGCCGCTGACCCGACCTCGGTCCGTTTGCAGGTGTTGCGTCTCTTTGACGAGGTCCACAGCGTCGAGAAGTTTGCACAGCTGCGCGGCCCATGGGTGTGTACCGAGGTCCACCCTGGCGAGTACGTGCATGTCATAGGCCAGGTACGTGCACACATACCTGCCGCGCCCACCTCACATGTTCGTTTGGCAGAGGAGCGACACTAAGCGTGTGGGCTCGGGGTGGGGTGGGGGATCGACAGTTTGATAGCAACAACAAATGCGTCGTGGATGGCGATGAGAATCTGCTCATTCTTCATCCGGACATTCTCGTAACCGGCACCACGGTGGGTGAAAGCTACTTTTGCATGCGCAAGTCGATCCTAAATAACAAGGCCAAGGTATGCACCACTACACCACTCCAGCACCGTCCTGTAGTGTGTGAGTCCTATGTAGTTCGTAACTGTGTGGTGCACTTTTTCTTTTTTCTTCTTCGTGATCAGACGTCGAACTACGCCATGCCGCTTATCAAGGGGACAATACTGCACGACTCCTTCGAGACGGCTCTCGGCAGCAACGACTTCTCGACGGAGGCCTTGTCGGCCACCATCCAGGAAAAGATTTCGACCAAGCTGGCGGACATCTACGCCGTCGGCGAAACGGACATCACCGCCAAGAAGAACCTCGAGGTACGCACCTCGCGTTTCTCACCAATGACGCCGAGCTTGGCAACACACTCGTTGCTTCATCATTCACGTTGTGCCACCGTCATGGTGTTTCTCGTTGGCTTTGTGCAGGTGGCGATTCCCAACATGCAAAACTGGGCACAACGGTTTCTGCACGCTCAACCCAAGGTGCGTTTCCCTGACAATCATGATGCGCCGGCAAGGCCGAAATGCTGCTCCGGTCTTCTTCGAAGTCGGGCTGATTGCTTGCCGCATGCGCGACCAGACCGAGATCAAGTTCATGAGTGGACGGCAGAAGGTCTGCGTGTCCAAGGTGCTAGCCATCGAAGAAAACATCTGGTCGCCCGCCTTTGGGCTCAAAGGTAATATATGTCTTGGCGTTATTGTCTTGGCCGCCGATTGCCTCAGCTGACAAGTGTGTGTCACTTCTCTCACTTCTTTGGCCCCTAGGGAAAATCGATGCCTCGGTGGAGATGAAAGTGGACCGCTCGGGCAGAGCAGAGCACCTCGCCCTGCCGCTGGAGCTGAAGACCGGGAAGCTCTCGCCCTACAACATTGGCCATCAAGCCCAGGTCATCCTCTACACCCTCTTGATGTCCGACCGATACGGTACGTGCCCACCTCGCGTTCACTGAAAGTGCGGCTGACGGTCGAAGTACTGACCGTGCCCGGTCTCTCAAAGATACGGATATCCGCTCGGGGCTGCTCTACTACGTCGAATCGGGAGACATGATGGCCATTCAGATCGCGCGGCAAGAGCTGGTGGCCATCATTCAGCGCCGGAACGACATCGCCGCGCACCTTGTGCAGAAGACCTTGCGGCTTCCCGGCATGAAGAAATCCAACGCGTGTCGGAGCTGCCACCAGCTCAGCACGTGCACGCTCTACCACAAAGCGCTCGAGAACGGCAACGCAGAGAGCAGCGGCATAGGTAACTAACTACCATTCATTTACATTGTTTGCTGCTTGGCTTACAACTTTCAAGGCCCATGCTGTAACTCATCATCAACGTTGTTTCGTGTGGCGCAGACAAGTTCGACCAGCTGACTGGCCACCTCACGGCCGGCCACATGAACTACTTCTCGCACTGGGATCGTTTGATCGACCTCGAGGAAGCTGAAATGTACAGAAACAGGGAAGAGGTACGCGGCTGTCATTCTTTGGATTCTTTGCTATGTTGCGTAGCGGCTCATATTCAATGCATAGATATGGTTGATGAGCGGCGAAGAGCGGGAGGCCAAGACCGGCCGCTGCTTCAACGATATGGTGGTGGACAAACGCATGGACAGCGAGAAGGGCTTTCTGTACTGCTTCAAGCGGGCCTCGGTGCGAGAGGCCGAGCGGGAAAGGGAGCAGCGGGGAGGCGTCGCCTCGGCCGGTAGCCGCCCGAGAAGTAGCTCCTCCGCTGCTCCACCAGCTGCCTCGTCCCTGCTGGACCTTGCGATCTCGACCGGTGACTACGTGGTCATCAGTACCGTGGCCGGTACCAGCCACCTCGTCCCCTTTCGCCTCAACTTCAATCCTTCAAGTTTGAATTGATCGCTCATAATTTCTTTCTCGTTTCATTTGGTCGCGTCCTAACAGGTGACTTCGCGGTCGCGTCGGGGTTCGTGAAGGAGCTGACCTCCACCTGCGTGTCCATACAAATGAGCGAGGAGCTACGACCTCCTCCCATTCCAGTGTCGGGTGATGACGGCGAGTTGGCCGGTTCTCAGATGTTTCGCGGCATCGTTGAGATTGAGGACCTGGTGCCGGATGTACAGAACAAGCGGCTCCGATCGAACAACGCCAACGTGCCGCGCTACGGTGCGGAGATGCACAAGAGTTCTCCCGACAGCCAAGCAGCCCCTGGCGCAACGCTCTTTGACGTGCGCTGGCGACTGGACAAGGAGGAGCTGTCCACCGGCTTCTCGCTGGTCAAGCAGAACCTCCTGCGCCTCTTCGTCCACGAGGGCGACCAGAAGCGACGGAGGCTCGTCGTCGACCTTGAGCCGCCGAGCTTCCTCTCCGCCCAGGCGCTCTCCCAGTCGCTCTCGCAGCGGAGCCTGCGTAAGGGCGAGGTCAAGCTGGAGCCGCGGCCGCAGCTCGACGCGAAGAAGTTGGGTCTCAACGCCGACCAGCAACTGGCCATCGAGAAGGTCCTGCAAGCGGAGGACTACGCCCTAATCCTCGGTGCGGCCACCCAACTCTTCAATCCGCTCGTGAGCGAGCCAACGGGAAATAAATTCCCTTCAGCTGCTCATTGGCTAACTCAAATTGATCGCTGCAGGCATGCCTGGCACGGGGAAGACGACGACTATCGCTCATGTCGTGCGGGCTCTGGTAGCTTACGGCAAGTCGGTGCTCATAACAGCGTACACCCACACCGCCGTGGTACGTACAGACCACATCCACTCGCTTGCTTTGGTGTTCGTGAGTTTTAGACCCAGTCATGTTAAGGTTCCTCCTTTGTTGCTGTTTGCTGCTCTACAGGACAACTTGCTGCTGAAGCTGCTCGACATGGGCGAAGAGTTTCTTCGTCTGGGAAAGCCCGAGAGCGTGGACTCCCGAATCCAACCCTACGTGTTCCACAATGGAAAGGCACCGGGTACGTGCTGGCGTTACATCGGCTGGGCCGCCTGCGCTCCAGTCAATGAAAGCACTGCCGCTGGGCTGATCTATTGACCACTTCTTGAATGTGGGCGTGCAGGTGGCAAGGCGGTCGCGTCGGTGAAGGAGGTGGAGACCATCTTCCAATCGGCGAGAATCGTGGCCACCACGTGCCTGTCCATCAACAACCCGCTGTTTGAAAAGCGGCGGTTCGATTACTGTATCGTCGACGAGGCCTCGCAGCTCACCCTGCCCGTGTGCTTGGGTACGAAGGGCTCCCTCCCATCATGCGTCGGCCGAGCCGCACCTGGCTTACCTCTCTCTGGGTGGCACCATAGGTCCTATTCGGTTCAGCGACGTGTTCGTGCTGGTCGGCGACCATTACCAGCTGCCGCCCCTGGTCCTCAACGCCGAGGCCAAGGAGCTCGGGATGGGCGTGTCCTTGTTCAAGCGGCTCAGCGAAGCCCACCCCCAATCGGTTCGCTTCTCTACACACCTGTTGCGCCCTCCTTCAGCGCACGTGTGGAATGCTCTCTCTCTCTCCGCTCATCTCGAAATTCGGTTAGGTGGTCAACCTGGAGTATCAGTACCGCATGAATGCGGACATCATGAAGCTGTGCAACCACCTGACCTACAGCCACCGACTTCGGTGCGGCAACCAAGAGGTCGCCCGTCGGTAATGCAACCCCTCTCCACTGCAACCTTACCTCCAAAGCAAGCAGTCTCATTGCTACTTTTCCTCATTTTTTGCCTCGCCTCGCACCCAACAGCTCTCTGCGGGACCAACTGACGCACCTGGAGCGTCTGCCCGAACCGCTCGTGTATGGTGTGCGCGTCGCTGAGGTACGTACCTGCACTCCCTTGCTCCGTGATTGTGCACTGCTGGCCCGCAATTCAGCTGAGTGTGGCTAAATTGTGCAGTCCGGCGGCGAAAGCCCGCTTAAGGGGCACGAGCCAAGCGGCGATGGGTCCCTGCGAGAGAAGGAGGCCCTGTCTGCGCTGCATTGGCTGCGCGAGGTCCTCGATCCCGAGCGCTCGGTCGTGTTCCTCAACACCGACTCCGTTCCCGCGCTCGAGTCCCGTGCAGGCGACGAAGCCGCGGGAGGCGGGGTGCTCAGCAATCAAATCGAAGCCGAGCTGGTGTGCCAGATCACCGGTAACTTCCCTCTACACTGGCGATGGCGTGGTCTTCCTTGCGTGGTGCTGATGATGATGATGATGACGATTCATGCAAGACGGGCTCTTGTTGTGCGGCCTGGATCCTGCCGACCTGGGCATCATCTCGCCCTACCGCGCTCAAGTCAAGCTCATCCGCAGCCTCATGGCCAAGGTAGACCCTCGCCTCTGTCGTTACTCTTTACAGTGTTTGGAAGTCTTTTGATTATTCAACGCGCGCTTGTTCGGGGGACAGATCAACGACTTGACTGGAGACGCCACAGAGATCCACACTGTCGACAAGTACCAAGGCCGGGACAAGGACTGCATCATCGTGTCCTTGGTTCGCTCCAACGCGGAGAAGAAGGTACTCTCGCCACTCTTTCTCTTTCTCTTGCGATTGGCGGCGTGGTGGAGCTAACACCGTAACACCGTGACGAAGGTGGGCGAGCTCCTGTGCGACTGGCGGAGGGTGAATGTGGCTTTCACGCGGGCCAAGAAGAAGCTCATCATTCTGGGCTCCCTCTCCACACTCGAGAACAACCACCTCTTCTCCATCTTCCTTCAGCTGCTTCGCGATCAGAACTGGGTATGATAAAATACTCCCTCGTCTCCCCCTCTTCTGACCCATTTCTTATTAATGATCGGCTCTCTGGCCTGTACACACAGATCTATGCCCTGCCCCGCGATGCCGGGCAGGTCTATGGGCCGGGCAGTCATTTTGTGCGCTGGTGGCGCAGAGAAAACCACCCCAGAACGCAGCAGACCGCCTCTTCCTTCTCGTCGTCGTCGACGACTCCCACCGTACCCTGCCGCTCCAGCTCGTGACTTTGCACAGCGCTAGCGATTGAGTCTCGACTCTCACGTGACTTCTCGATCTCTCTGCTGCAGCGTTGGGCGTCGCCGAGTGTTCATAGCCGGAAACGACCACCGGCCTCTTCGAGTTCTTCTTCATCAGCGTCGTCCAAACCGACGTACCCCGTCGGTCGGGGTGGGCGGGACTGACCTATTTGATTGTAAACAGTGCAAACAACTCTTGAACCGTTGTAATTAACCTTACTGTTATTTTATTTTATATTATTTGTTTTTAAGTTCAACAAGAGTTTGGTGAAGGTGATGGATGAGCTGCCGGGCGAAGTGCTTCTCCTCGTGATGAGCTTCTGCGGGGCTGCCGAGCTCGCGGCACTCGCGGCGACCAGCTGCCGCCTTGCGAGCCACGCCCTTGACGACCCCCTGTGGCGGCGCCTCTTCGTGGCCCGCTTCTTCGAGCCACCGCCTCCGCTGGAGCCGCAGTACCTTCCCCCCTCTGCCCTCAGCACACACTGCTTCAGCACCAAGAAGGAAGACGAACACGACGAAAAAGAAGAGGAGGAAGAGAAGGAGCCGGTTCAGGAGTGCTTCTGGGCTTCTGTCCTGCGCCCGCAACCAAAGCTGCCAGACGATGCCCGTGGGCCATGGCCTCTGCAAGACAGTCCAGTCGTCATTTCACGCCTCGCCGGTACTACCGCACCACTTTGATGCCTGAAGTTTGGCCTGACAGATGGTGGGTGGCTGGTGGTGTGGTGGGTGGTTCATTGGGTCACAGGGTTGAGGCGAGACCGGTGGTCGCAGAAGCCACCTCCGTTGCCTCGGGAGTGGTTCATGTACGCTCCGGCCTGGGCGAGCGGCGGGCGAGACTGGATAGCCGGGCGTATGACGCCTCACGCTAGCGACTCTCCCATCTTTCCCACTGCCTTCTATCGAAGCGGTACGACACACACCTCACACGACACCTCACACGACACGACACGACCAACGACACGACACGGCACGCACGGACGCCACATCTCAAGTATACACTTCTCCGATCAGCATCATGTCAGTTCTTCGCGAGTTGGCACGATTGCTTCGCCTACCACGCCATGATGTACCACGTGCGTGGGCGGATCCGGCCGCTCATGGCCGGCCACCTGCTGCCCGCACACGCCCTGTTGGCCCTGCTCGACCAGGCCCGGCAGGCACTGTCGCAGGAACCCAACGTGCTGCGCTTGGCAGGGCCAGTCACCGTGGTTGGCAGCCTGCATGGGCAGCACGTCGATTTGCTCAACCTGTTTCTCATCAGTACGCTTTGTCACGTCAACACACACACACACACATACACAACACACAACACACACGCACACACTAGCTCAGCATCAATGCCAACTACAACAATACTAATAATGTTTATGATCAGATGGAGAGCCACCCGACACGAACTATCTGTTCCTCGGGCGCTATGTGAACCGCGGTCTGTACGGAGTCGAGACGGCGTCGCTGCTGCTGGCGCTTAAGGTGGCCTTCCCCGAGCGCATCCACCTGCTGCGCGGCAGCCACGAAACCCGGCAGATTACCGAAATCTACGGCTTTAAGGACGAGTGCTTGAGAAAGTATGGCGGCGGCGGCGGCGGCGGCGAAGAGGTGTGGCAGGCGTTCATGAACACGTTTGATGCCCTGCCTGTGGCCGCCATCATTAACGACAAGACGCTCTGCCTGCACTCGGGGTTGAGCCCGAGCTTGGATACTATCGCTCAGATCGAAGAGCTTGACCGGTACGCGTTTGTCATCAAGTTGTTGGTCCAGTACTCGTGTGCGTGTGCGTGTGCGTGTGCGTTTGCGTGTGCGTGTGCGTGTGCTGCGGATTCACCTCAACCTCTCATTGGCAGGTTTCAGGACATACCGCCAGAAGGGCCACTAGCGGACTTGGCTTGGAACCAGCCGGAAGATGTCGAAGGCTGGCAGATTCCCCCCAGGGCTGCTGGTTTCCTCTTCGGTTCAGGTACTGTTGTGGACTCAAGCAGGCGCTCGGGAAAACGAACAATAACAATTCCCTTGGGTTGTGTGCAGCGGTAACAGGCGATTGGCTGGACAAGCACGGGCTCGACCTGCTCGTGACCACCAGCAGCCTCGTCATGGAGGTGCGTTGCATGATGTGCCACACAGATGTGGGGTTTACTGATAGCTGCACCACCACCACCACCAACAACAACAACAGGGCTTCAAGTGTATGCATGATGGACGGCTGTTGTTGCTGTGGAGCGCTCCAAACTACTGCGATCGCTGCCAAAATCTGGCTGCCGTGCTTTGTGCCAGTGAGCACGCAGCCGGACCCCACTCCCTGTACAAATCACCAGGAACGCACTTGGCCAGATCCAGCCCTTCTGACCTTCAGAGCTATTTCTGTGTGTGTGTGTCGCGCGCGCGTGCGTGTGTGTGTGTGCGTTTCTGTGTGCACAGGGTGACATACGGCAGGGCGCCAAGCCTGCCGCTGCCGGTAGGGCGAGAGCCGCTTCTCCGCACGTAAGCCCGACACCTTCAACGTTCTGCTTGGTGGTGGCTCACTCCCACAAACCTGGTGTGCCCCAGCTTTCCCGTGACTGATGCGCAGGACCTGAAGAACATGAGGGACACGGCTCTCGCTGTCGCCCTCACCAACCCAGACGCGCACACGGATCGTACTGCCTGAACACAAATAAATGTTTCAAATTCCTTATATTCCCTATGACTCAAACAGGCGAATTGAAGATATTTGAGATATATTTGAGTACCGCTGTATTGAAAACAAAACCGACACGCACAGGCAACGAAAGGGCACTTGTGACTGCACGCCACATGAACCACAACCTGCTGGGGTGCCTCACCTCTCTGCTGTGCATATTTCGCTTCACTATTTTTCGTTGACCTCCCCACCGGTGATCGGCCGCGTATTGTGATTTTTGTGATCATGTTGACTTCTAACAGCTGGGTTCGATTCTGAATACAGATGAGCGCTACAGATTTCCCAGCAGAAGCCTCGTACTTTGCCAAGCCGCTCCCCCATGCGAGGCCGTTCGCGTTCCTGCTTGGCGCCGCCGACAGCGCCACTGTTGGATTAGATCTGAACGGTGGCCAAAGGAGCACAGAGGGCGGGCACGACCACGGCACCCCCGGTGGCCTTACCACCGCCTCCTTCGTCGACCTCGACCTCGACCTCAACTGTCCCACCACCACGCCCACCGACACCAACACACCAGCACCCTCTCCTTCATCTCTCTTCTGCTCGCCTGCCAGCCTGGCCTCGCCATCTACGCCGCTGTCGTCGCCCTTTAGCGCTCCCGGCTACTACACGCCGCTCTCGTCGCCCTACCAGAGCCCCTACGCGCCCTCGGCGGCGGCGGCGGCGCCGATGACGGCAGAGGCGGAGACGATGATGGCCGCACTGAACGCTCTGCGGCTCGAGCTGGAGCGCGAGCGGGCGCGAATGGAGGCCGAGCGGCGGGAGCTGCAGCAGGTCCGCGAGACGGTGC